TCGGTACCATCCCAGGCTGATTCCAAAGACTAACAATAAAAATCCAGACCTAAAAAAAAAGGGGAAAAAAAAAAGCACGCACAATAACTTCAAATAATAAGCGATCCTATAGTTCCAATGCACTTAAACGCGACTACTATAGTTCCAATGCCCTGCCCTTCCTTAGTCCTTCACTTCTCTCCGCTCTTCGCCACTCCCAAGTCCCTCAATCTCCGCTCCACATCGTCTAATTTCTCCTGTTCCGACTCTTTGGTCTCAACCAACTTCTCCTGCAGCCCGTAAAACAAAATTTCAATCAGATACGTTCTTTCGTACATAAAATACATCAATAAAAACCAAGTTACAGCTTAGATTTCGTCACCTTCGTGCCATCAATAGTGTCATCATCTCTTCCCTCGTTCTCCTTCCGGTTGCCCGTCAAATAATCCATGGCTCGTTGTGCAGTTTCCACCGCTTTATCCACCAAGTTATCCTTGCTTTCCTTCGCCGTCTCCACAGTTGCATCCTTGGTCTCCACGGTCTTCTCCCCCGTTCTGTCTTTTGCTTCTGTAGCCCTTGCCAAAGCAGTGTCTTTGTACTCTCCAAGCTTTTGTGAGGTAGAATCCTTAGTTTCTCCCGCTTTCCCCAACAAGTTATCCTTGCTTTCCTTCGCCTTCTCTACTGCAGCATCCTTGGTCTCCACGGCCTTCTCTCCCGTTCTGTCTTTTGCTTCGGTAGCCTTTGCCACGGCAGCGTCCTTGTACTCTCTAAGCTTTTGGGACGTAGAGTCCTTGGTTTCTCCCGCTTTCTCCTTTGTGGTTTCCGCGTAATCGTCTAGTTTCTGCTCAGTAGAGGCCTTCGTTTCTCGTGCATTTTCCGCAACAGTGTCTTGGTAGTCTTTCAGTCTCTGTGAGGCAGAGTCCTTGTACTCGCCAGCCTTACCTTTGATGTTGTTCTTCACCTCCTCTGTTTTTTGTGCCGCGGAGTCCTTTAACTCTTCGGTCTTCTCTTTTGCGCTGTCAGCGTACCCTCTCAAGTTCTCCTTCGCCTCCTCGGCCTTCCCTTTGCTGGCGTCCTCGTACTCCCTCACCTTGCCCTTCGCATCCTCTATCTTTTGCCCAGCAGCCTCCTCGTACTCACTAGATTTCACTTTTGCTTCTTCCTCCCGCTCACCAGAGCCACTGAAGGCAACCTCCCTGGCCTTCCCTAGAGTTCCCTGTACGGCCCCAACTATACTACCAATTACACCGCCGAGAATTCCTCTCCCTTGCTCGCTCTCACCTCCATACTCGCGTTGCGCTTTGCCCTCATCAGCGTAGTCTTTCAACCTCTCCTTGTCCTCTTCTGCTTTCCCCACAGCAGAATCTTTGTATTCCTTAAGCTTCTCCTTGCCTTCCTCTGCCTTTTGTGCCGCTGAATCCTTGTATTCCCCAGCTTTCTCTTTGATGTTTTCTGTGACCTCTCCTGTTTTCTTCGCAGCAGAGTCCTTGTACTCGCCTGCCTTATCTTTGATATTCTCCTTGGCCTCCTCTGTTTTCTGCGCAGCAGAGTCCTTGTACTCACTTGTCTTACCTTTCGCGCTGTCGGTGTACTCTCTCAACCTCTCCTTCGCCTCCTCCGCCTTATCTTCCGTCTTTCCTTCACTGTCTTCCTTAAACTCCCTCACCTTATCCTTGAATTCACCGGCTCTTTCATTCGATTCATCCTCCCTCTCGCCAGAGCCGCCGAAAGCGACCTCCTTGGCCGTCTGCAGAGTTCCTTGCACAGCGCCTACGAGGTTACCGAGGATAGTGCCCCCGCCTCTTGTCTCCTGCACAGTGGCGTCGCCGTCTCCGGCGCCGGTCACCGCTTGCTCCTCCTTCGTCTGCTTCGATGACATTGTTGACAATATGAATTACTTCCGCTCACGACGATTAAAACTGAGAACGTTAGAGAACTGATTCTCTGTAAAAGTCGGTGATGAAAAGGAAATTGGAGATGGATTTAAATAGAGAAACGATCGGCGAGCTGGGGGATGGAGGGGATGCCGTTATCGAAGTCTCTTGCCACGTGTCCGGATTTGGGACATGTGTCTTGATCTTAGTATGCTGTGTCAGCATGTATCACACGTGTCCTATTTGTCTAGTTGGGAAGAATTGGCATTCCTTATCGGCCGGCCGAAATTTGAAACAGTCCTGAGGATGTGCTTAAAAATCATAATATGACAGAATGTACAGATGTATTTCATTGATTTATAATTTTTATATGATAAAATTTTTATAAGTAATAACTGAATATTTTATAAGTAAAATTTTTTAACAAATCTATGTTTATTAGCTGTAAATTATTTAATTTTTTTATATAAACATTTAAAATTTTTATGTTTTTTTTATCTTTGAAAAAATATTGAGAGAATTTTAATTATAGAATACTCCTATAAAATTTTAAGCTCATTTTAGATTACATTAAAAATCTTATAGTCTTATATTATTTTATAATATACATTAATTGAAAATTTAAATTAATTATATCTATAAAGTCATTAGAGGTTGTAGAATAATAC